CTCCGAGACTCTCCGAGACTCTCCGAGACTCTCCGAGACTCTCCGAGACTCTCCGAGACCCGCTCAGCTCGGTGGAGCTCGTCGAAGCCCTTTGCCACGGAGGTTGCTGCCGTGGCCATGGCACCTAAGAAGGCCAAGGCGAAGGCCGAGGCGAAGGACCGATCGGGGCTTCGTGATTTGAGGCGAAAGACATGCAAGACGTGACAGTAAAGCAAGAAATACATATTAGGAATAATCTGAACATCCCTGAAACAAGAACATTGACTGCCGAATCAACAATGATTGTTCTCCCGATTTGTGCATGTGAAGCATGTGAACTTGGTGGGTGGTGACCAAGGTTCCTTCGAAGCCAGAGGATTCCGTCGAACTTTGACAGTGCAGCCCTTGTCAAAAAAGGATGGGTCCTCAACAGGTGCTCACTGCAGTTTCGTTTTTTTGTAAGATATATATATATACACATATATATATATATACATAGTTTTTTTAAAGCCCGCTCTCCCCTCCCCACTTAATCCAGGCGCCTACTTAATTAATTAGGGGAGAGGTAGACAGTAGCTAAAGTAGCTACTAGTAGTATGGACGCAGGATAGCGCTCGCACTAATGATTTGGTTCCTAGATTCTTAGGGAAACTTAACTTATAGTAGATTATTGCTGTTGCTTTTGAGGACTTCGAGCACCTTCTGTTGAGCTGAAAAACCTCCCAACTCAAGGGCCTATTGCCATGGGATTGACTCGACATCGTGGCACCACATGGCACGAAAGAAAGACATGGAGGTGGTTGGAAAGCGCTCACCATGAGATGGGGATCAACAGTTCCAGGCTGCTCATAGAGCATAGATCTGCATGAACATCACTGTAGATTGTTGGTGGATAACTGGCTATGGTCAATACATATACAATATTATACAATACAAATCTATAAGAATAAGAATAACAATATATATATATATATTATATATTATATATTATATATATTTTATATTAGATATTATATATTACACATCACATAATTTAAGACCCGCGAAGCGCAGGATAGGGTCAAGAGTCACATGAGTCGCGTTAGCGTGTATGTTCCCTTCTAATGGGACCATGGATCGGGTCACACCTGAGATGCAACGGAGCCAGGAGAAGGAGCCCAAGAAGGCGATTCTTGAGATTCACACATCGTGTCTTAGTGTTTGGAGATCTGCTGCGTTCCAGGTTCGGAAAGGACATGAAACATGTTCAAGTCGTCATGTGGAGGAAAGAGTTGGAAAGTTGGTATTGTTCTAATGTGCCCAGACAGTTGGGGCGATGAAGCCACTGTTGAGGCAGCCAAGGCGCCCAAGGCCAAAGCCAAGCGCGCAGCGCCCGAGGGCGCAGCGTCAGTGGCCAAGATGCCCAAGGCGCTGCGGCTTCTGTGTGAGGGGGTGAGGACGAGGTGGTTCGAAACAATTTGAACATGGACGACTTGACAATACCGCAAAATATGTTAAGCAATCCTCCCTACAAACTGGTTTGGTTCCAGTTCATAGACTTGTAGAGATGTTAATGGCATTTGTGAAAGAAAAGGGTCCATGGTCAGACCCCGCCTTCGACAAAGTGGGAGAGCGGACCAACGGTTTCACTCCTCGACTCCTCAACAGTTTCGCTCCCCCTAAAGACCATTCCCAACAAATGGATATGTGCACGGCCAGGTGGTGCCATGGTTTTGTTCCTCAGATCTTCAGCTGGGCCAGTCACAGACGTTCGTTTTGAAAACCGGTTTCATCTTCAGGTGCTTTAGCTTGGCAACAGATGTTGGAAGACAGGCAATGCTATTTCTGAATAGAGGACAATTTTGTTGTGATTTTTAACGTGTTGCCTTTAGGGAGTTCTTTTGGATCTGCTTCTTGTTGCTTTTCTTGCTCTTCCTGCTTTCTCGTGCTTGTCTTGCTCTTCCTGGCTTTTCTCCTGCTTTTCTTTACTTGACTTAGCTTTCCTGCTGTTTGGTCGTCTTGTGGCATGTTGTTTCCCTGTTTTTATTGCTTTCGGTTTCTATGGCCCATGGCCTTGTTGCCCTCGCTTTGTATTAATTGCTTTCAAGCCTTGATTTGGTGTTGGTTTATTCTTGCTTTTCTATACTTTTGCTACTCTTGTTTGTTTTCTGATCTACTAGTTGTTGTGTTTTGTTTCACCTCAAGGGACAACCCAAGTGCATCATAAGAACAAAACTCTTTCATTCGTTTTATAATCCCTTCTCGGTCATGAGCATATTTTGGATTTGCTCTACTCGGGACACGACCCGGGCTTCTGGAGTAGCAGTTTATGCCTTGTGGTCCAGTTTGTTAGTTTTTTTTGCACACAGGCCCTAGACGTCCTGACATAATCATGGAGTTGGAAAATTGCCTCTTGGACTGTTATTTCTTCTACAAACAGCTATACAAACAGCTAGTTTTCCACTTCCACTGGAGGAAGTAGAGACACCACGACCGCAAAAAGCATTTCAAACGCAACGCGCAAGATTCCCGAAATAAAACCGCACCCTTTCAGAATTGGCCAGCTTACATCTTACTTCGTCAATGGCCAATAGGATCAGAAGAACAAGTCAATTATCTGGCACTTGCTACCGACAACATACCGTCAAGTACTTGGCTGAAGTGACAAGTCTAATCTCGACTCTACTCTGGTGCTTTTCAGATTTCATGTCCTTTCCTGCCTTGCACAGATTCCACCGGGCCATACTGCATCCTTCCGCGAGATTCGCCAGCGCTTGTCGCAGGTGGCGGTAGATCCCAGCAAGGCACTTGAGGAGTTGCTGGCCGGCCTCCAAGAGCCTGGCTGGAAGGACAAGTCTCGACACGGCGGAGGGGTTGCTTTGAAGTGCGTTGTGTAAGGTAAACGGATGTAAAAATGTGTTCATTTTGTTTCTCCTTGTTTGTGGTTCCATTTTCAGATCTGAGTGCTGCTTCACCATATTGATCCTCCAGAGTGGCGTTGATGCTGGTTCATTTTGCTCCGTTCTCGACAGTTCCAGACCATCCCTCGCCGCATTGAAATCTCTGGCCTATGGCTACGAGGATTTTCCTCATCCTGGCATGGAGACTGCTGTTTTCCTCGTGAGTGACAAGCGGCCTGTCTAAACCTTCACATGCAGTGAATGAATGCCATCACGGAGAAGGTGGGTCTTGGACATGGTTGCCATCTTGCCCTGCGCACTGGCAAATGTGGCGCAGGACAACTGGTGGACGATGAGACCATGGTGATGTACTTGCGTCGCTTTGGAGTGAAGGAGCAAATCGAGTCCTTGCCTTTAAGGTTGCCTAAGCCAAATGCCCGTGCAGGCCCCTTGTGTCAGAAGCCTGCCACCAAAGATGCACCAAGTGCCAGTCTCGAGCCTATTGCTCCGACACATGTCAAAAGAAAGAGCGGAAAACGCACGATATGTTGTGCTCTTCACCCTTCTGCAAGCAAACCAGCAGGGATGCATGTTAGTGCGATGCCGCTTTCAGAGAAAGAAAAACGGCCTCGCATGATCCATAGTCAGCTGGCAGAATGTTGCATGCCGCTTTTGGAGCCCTTTGTTGGGACATCCTTGCACGAAAGCATTCGCGGCGACCTTTTGCCTGCTTTGCCAATGGCCCACTTGTCCCCATCCATATTTTTCATAGCCGAGAAGGCTTCTTGAAAGATGGATCAGCACCAAACGCGTGCACAGCCAATCTCTTTGCGGCTTTGTACCCAGCAGATAGAACCCCCGGTAGCATCTTTGTTAGCGGTTGCCTTCAAGTTCATTCCAGGCCTTGAATATGATCCAGTATATTGACATTGAACTGGCTGACGCATGATGTTCTTGAATTCCCTGTGTGACCTCAATCCAGAAGGTGGATGCGAAATCCGTGCGATGGAGTTGTTTGTCCGATGTTCTTCCTGCGGGTGCAAGTGTTCAAGTGGGTGTTTGGTCAGAGGCAAACGGAAGGGTAGTGCCCAGAAAGAATTTTGCAAAAACCTATTCTACTAACATCGTGGAAGGCGTGGGACATTCGTAGAACCCAAGGCTATTCGTGGACAGTTCGTCGAATGGTGGGCCAGTAGGAGAACTGACTGCAACGAAATTCCAGAAACCTTCGCAGAACTTCGTGGAAGGTATTTTTGATGCACTAACTTCGTATAAGCGATTTTTGCTGACCCCCTTCTCCACACACCCTCCATTTAGCCTTCATTTGGTTTGCATTGATGCGAGAAGAAACCGTATTAGTTGTTGTACGTATCCCCGGGGTGACCTGGTGAAATGACAGTATCCCAGTCACACCCCGAGTATAATTCGAGTCCTTGGAACCCAACGACATATACAATGGCTTCGAACCTCCACTTTACACCACACCGTTACTATCCACTGTATAATAGCTGAGAACGTTGGGGCTACGTAAAGGCCCCCTCCCTGTATGCTTGAGACAAGGAAGCATCATTGTTCAAGGCTTTATGGGCTTTCCCGGTTGTCGCGCGTGGTACCGCGCGGCTATGGGCGGCAGCGTGACAGGAGGCTTTGGCTGCGGAGTTTGACAAGAAGTACTTTGCAGCTCGCCGTTGCAACGGGCGTCGGTTCGTCGGTGTCAGCTGGAGGAGTTAGAACCGTTCGGTCCCTGCTTCAGCGCACCCAAAGAAGTGCCGTGAATACCAAGTCAAGGGACAAGAGATCCTACATCTACACGGTGCAAAGCAAGTCGGGATTAGATTAGGGGTCCTGATTTCACTGTACAAGACACATATGTTTGGACAACGTGCACATCTTGGCAGCTATATTGCAGGTTTTTCCGTGTCAGCACACCGGAGAGACCGCCCCAGGCGGATATCGCCCACTTTGCTCGGGGGCCACAGAGAACGGTAGCAGGTGGACATAAACACAGAGAAGGTTTTCAGTGCCGCGAGGCACGAAAACTGTACCAAATTGACAACTCTTTTTGGCATGTTGTTTCTTGTTTTACTTTAAGACAGCCCACAAAATGTGTGGAGGCTTTAAAGATCTATGGATCCCAGACTTGAGACACAAAGGCGGAGCAGGTTATCAAACGTTATCAATGCATGTCACTGCTGCGTGGTGGTTGAACTCTGATCAGAACAGATAGATGTAGGTTTTCTTTAGTGCCGAACAAGGGCACATGCGCACTGCGGGGCTTTGAGGCATGGATGTTTTCACTCCAGCAAAGTGTAAGGAATAACAATGACCCATCGTCCCATTTTGTCCATGTGAGATGGCTGCAATTATATAAAAGGGCAAAGATGGGTGAATCATCAAGCTTGTGGTAAATCAGCGGGTTGGTTGCTCGACAGTTGGTGGACGTTTGTAAGGTACAAGAGGAACGTGCTGCACTGACGGTTCATCCTCCAGTGGACAAGGCCAGATTGAGTTCCAGAGCCTTGGATTGCACCTTCCGGTTGAGTTTTCAGATGAATGTTTCTAGGTCAGTGAGGAAACTGATGTGGATATATGGTTTTTCTTGCCTAGCTTGCAGGTGGAGGCATACCTGTCATGAGCAGAAGTGACCAACCCCCTTTGGGCGTTCCAATTGTGCGGATGACATTCTATGGTTGCCTGGGTTTGTGGAAAGCTGCTCTTGCACCTGCGCACTGCAGGATAGTCGGATAGTGGAGTTTATTGAGAAGTGGACTCTAAACTCTAGAAGTCTTTGCCACCCCAGTTCGTCCTTTTTTTGGTACGTCACCTTACTCATAGATAAATAGACTGCTCGTAGTGTCACTTAATTACTCGCGCAGTGTGATTCATATATTAATCTATTACTCTTTGTGACTTGCTCTGGAGGTCTTCTCTGCCTTCAATGAGACCCCGTTTGAACAAGTGCACGGCAGCCCAGCCTGAGATGCTGGCGTATGCTGGCGTTGGCGTGGAGGGGTCAAAAAGTGCTTGGACGGAAGCTCATCCTTCTGCCTGCATGAGGTTTTATTAGTATGGCTCCTGGCCCTACAACTAGGAGCAAGGACGCTACTAGGGGCTCCTGGCCCTACTACTAGGAGCAAGGACGGCTCTAATTGGTCGATCATGATTGAGTTGGTGAGTCCCAAAGAGGACGCTTTGACAAATACAGTTGATGATAGCATAACCTTGCGACTCTTGCATGCCCATGGCAGGCTTGCTCAAGACGGTAGCAGGTGTGCTTCTTTGAGTTGAGTAAAGCTGATCAGCAAGATTGACCTCAGACATCTTCGCAACCTCCCTGAGCATCCGGCCAGGCGAGTGGTCATCCTAGGCGCGAGCGGTCATCCCAAGATCCACCAACGGATGGTGCAAAGCGACAAAAAAACACGTCTATTATATATATATATATATCATCAGCCAGAAAGCCAACAGGCCTCATGTTTATGGAATTAGCACACTAGCGGACACCCTATGACATAGCTTGGTGTTTGCAGGTGACACAAGTGTCAGGTCCGCTGTGCCTCAATATGCTTCTCAGATCTTCTCAGTGCTTCCAGTGTGACCCTTGCCTTCGGGATCCGCGCAGGCCAAGACCCCTACCACGAGCCTGGGCAAGCCCATGGCATGTGCTTCAGTGTTCCACCCGGCATTGAGCCCCCAGCGAGCTTGAAGAACATCTACAAGGAGACCGGAGAAGAACATCCTCGTTTAGCTCAAGTCCAAGTTGCATATATACCTGGCACATTTCCCAAGGTATCTAGATTTCCCCACGGTGGATATCAGGACTTGTCTTGCAACGCAGCTTCATTTAGGCCGGCCTGCAGGTTCTGAAACAATACAGGGGTCTTAGTGGACTGGTTTGTTATTTGACCAGCAACCTTTCCTACAGTTACAGCAGATTCTGTGACCTGGTAGTCTTGAGGACCGTGAGGATTCTTCCAATTGTTCCTTTCTGGGACACACAAGTCGGTACATCTTATGCATCATCCCAGTATGCGCATCCAATATCTTCCAGTCACAGATTGAATTTAGGATGGATCCTCTTGTGAGCATCAGAAGAATGTGAAGCAAATTGCTCTATGACCCTGATCCCAGAGCCCACCAAGTGGATTTTGAATATTAGAGGACTGGCGGACAGGCTAGTTGTATATAAGATGCCTAAAAGACGATTCCACCAGTTGATGGTATCCCCTTTTATACCTCTTCTCTGCTCACCTCGACAATGGAGCTGAGGTAGTGAGGTCAATGGGGTGCACACAATGTATACAGATTACTTCCAGCGACACACATTTCTAAAATTCATGCCAACGGATTTACAATAAGCTTCAGTTGTGAAGACCTTGTAAGAATTTTAAAACGACTAGAATGACCATGAGAGCTTGCGAATGTTATTTATCATGCATAGTTTGTGTGAAAGCTGACCAAGAACTTTGTGAAAGAGCAAGCCAGCACGCATATGCATATACTATATACATAATCATGATAATCATAATACAAAGTCAAAGTCCCTGAACTATGCAGGATATATATACTGTATATATATATATGGGAGCCGTTCGAAACCTCTGGTATAGAGACAGGCTTTAGAGAGGACATGTCATAAAGATTGATCAGTTTTTTGGTTGTTTTTATCTGTTAGGCGCAAGAAGGCGCAAGGGCGAGCGCAAGGTTTAGATATATAATAGTATCTATCTACTAGTACTAGTAGTACTAGTACCAGTACTAGTACTAGTAAAACTACTACTGCTACTGCTACTGCTGCTACTACTACTACTTTTGCCATTTCCGGCTCGGGCGCGCCACTTTTTCTTGCTAATACTAAAACAATTAGAACATTCAAAAAGGTGCAAGGGCGAGCGCAAGAGCTTTTCGGCCTTATGCCCTGCAACTAGGTATAGAACGGCCCCCCAAATATTTATATATATATATATGCATGCCGCGACTTCACCTAACCCTAACAAACATATGGCATGTCGCTTCTTTTTTGAATGTGTGAATAAATTTCCAAAGACAAAGATTGAGCTGTTCTGGGAAGCAAAATTTGAACGAGCTTACGTGCAGGAGCTGGAGACTGATATTCCTGGGTTCCAGATCCCAGAGCACGGTGGCTGGGACAGATTCGTGCCGATGTGGTCCGATGTTCATTCCATGAGGTCCGGTGGAGTGTTGAGCTTTGAGAAGACGGTGGGTAACATGGACATGACCCAAAGTGGAGATGCTGCGCAGCATGCTAACTACTCAATGAATATTCTGAATACACTAGCTACAGTAGATGTATAGCACGGTGTATGTATACTTCATTTGGACTATGAGTCCCAAGATCGCCCCCCCAAGCTGAGAAGTTGGAGAAGCCTTTGCCATGATATAAATGATGCAACGCAGTGTCTTGATGTCCGATCTTTCAGGGTCGATTCATTATTCTCAGACGTTGGACTATCTCGTTCATGCTGTTCTATGGCACAGGTTTCCTGCTGCGTTGGGCGCAGCAAGGGGTCCTCCTCTTGAACGCCACGCTGACGGTCCGTGAAGGGCACAAAGAGGCCGGTCAGAGTAGCTCCGTACACCTTGAGTCACACAAGTGTTTTAAGAAGACCTCCTCAAGACCCCTGACAGAAGGTTCCTTGCTGCCTTGCTTGAGCTTGAAACAAACAAGATCAAACAAGCAGTTGGCTCCAAACGTTTGAACGTTTGGAGGGTTTGGAAGATGATAGCACCTGGCACTGGTCGTGGGCATGAAAGTTGCAGGAGACGCTCGCTCCCAAAACAACTCAGTCTTGGGGAGAGGTTGGGAAGGACGTTGGGTGCAATGATACCGAAAAAAAAGGACTACCCTACCGGCCCGCATTGGCCTCAAAACAGACACAACATGTAAACCTAGGGCGCCAAGACGGCAAGTCAACAGGAGCCTAAGCTGGTGGTGACACGTTTCGGGCAAAAGAACTGTGCTGACAGATTTGACCCAGCATAGTCATAAAAATCACAAGTAAACGAGAGTAAACGTGAACATCCGTGAACCATCCTATTTATATGCAGTAGGTCTCTTTGGCACCTTACAGTATACTCCGCCAATGCATCCAACGCTCATGGCCGTGGAAGACACCCAGAGTTGCTCATATCAGTAAGAGTGCAATATTGAAAGAATGGTGGGCATCCTTTTCGCGAAGCAACCGACACGGCACGCCTTGAATATTTTCATCGCAAACCATCAGAGACCACGCATGCTTTAAAACAAATACAAGAACTTAAAGCATGATGTTTAAAGGCAGAAACTTCCAACCTTTGTTTCTATCGGTCCTTTCACCTGTCGGATAGAGGAGCCACTCTTCTGCCACTCCTGGACTGTTTTGGTGTGTGCAGGCCAACTCTCACGCCAAGTGCGGCTGGCAAACCTTCACAGACGAGGTGATCAGAGCGTTGAATGAGAAACGGGAAGGCCAGTATCGAGGGTGCAGCATGTCGTGACCTTAGGGTTGGGCGTCATACAAAGTATTCTGATTCGAATATCTTTGTATGAACAAAGCTGACTTTAGGACTCAAATAACTATAGACTTGTTTCTTCAATGTGCTAAATACATTTGCCAGCAACATCTTTCTTTTGGGAATTTTATTGGCAATCGCCACTTGTCATCCCTTCTTTTTCGGCTTCGAATGACCGTTCCACCTTTCACGTGCGTGCGACCTGCAGGTGTGGTCTTCCTTCTTTGGGGAAACTTTGCCAAACAGAAGGCATGGTGTGTACGGCTCGAAGCGTTTTCGGCTTCAATTGGATGATCTAGAAGATTGTTGCTAATATCCATTGTTTCGTGAGCTCTCGTTACTTCCTAGGGCAACTTCTATGTGATGCGGCACAATGCACACCTTAATTTCCTGAGATTGAGTGATTAGTGCCAGTGTTTATATTTATAATATAATATATGTTTTTATTGTCTCAAGCCTGTATGGCGAAACAGGACATTTGGTGCATAACTCCTCGATGGTTACGCCCCGAAAACTGTGCGAAGTACGCCGGGCTTGCTCAAACATCACATGCTTGGATCACTAGGGGATCCTCGGAAACGTACAGGAAATTAAACAAATGTGGATGATGCGGATGTGATCCACTTTGAAACATGACAGCCATGATCGATCGATGGTCCTCAGAGAGAGGAGTTCGTTGGCTGTCGAATTTCACCCATGGAAACAAGTCAAGGGTCGCAGAGACTGTGGATGTTCCTGACAGTTTGGGAGTCTAGAAGTCAGTATGAGTCCTGCCATTAGCAGACGACGGATGACGCTTTGCCCTGTGCAGGGCAAAATCTTGGTGCCTGCCTCAGCATGATGATTTTGGTCGAGAAATCGGTCGGAATTGAATTCATTTGCTGAACTACCCTGCACCCTGGCGATGGTCGTGTTTGAGCCAAGACAAGGCTTCTGTGGTTGTCTTCCAATGTGCGTGGGAGTTCCGCCGTCCCCCTTTTCTGCAAACAGCTTTTCGGGAAAGGGCTGAGAATCCCTTCTCATCCCGGGCAAAACTTATAAATTCTCCAGCTAACCAACAACAATATGTCGGTCTCACAAGACATCCACACCAGACTGAGCTGCTGTGACTGGCTGTGACACAACAGAACAAACATTGCTTTTGGTCGTGCTCGGAGTTTGGGCTGGTGAAGCTGTTGGAAGGCAAGTGGTTCGTTGATTCACTTATCACGAAAGGTAGCGGTTACGCTACCTGAGTTTTCCTTTTGCTTTAGTCATACCCAGAGCTGGAGCCTATCTCACTGAGAAATGGTCCCCGACATCTTCGTTTGCTGGCCGGGGGGGGCCCCCCCCTTTCAACTCCACCCTGGCGCACCTCGGGGTCAACGGTTCGAAAACACTGTAAATACCAGTGTTTTCAGCTCTTCCAGTCCTCAACAGTGACCCAAAATCATGGAATTTACAGCGTTTTTTGTGGCTGTCGCGTTTTTTGTGGCTGTCCGGCAAAAAACACCGCAAAAACCGATGGTTTTTGATGCGTCTCGGTTAGAAAAATGACCGAAAAAAAAGACCAAAAACCAGGAAAGATTTTGTCGGAAAGGGTTTTTGAGGCTTTTGGAGGCTTCAAAATTGCACAAAACTATAGTATTTACAGGGTTTTGTGCACCTTCCCGGCAGAAAACGCCGGTATTTACATGGTTTTCTGCGCTTTTCCAGCACACACGCCTGATTCCCTGCTACCTTTCGTTCACCCCCCTCCTCTCTCAAGTATAAAGTAGCTAAGTTTGTCGCTTCACTATTGAGACTATTGAGACACAAATTCCACCAATTCAGATGGGGATGCCCGATGTACTCTTCCAGGCTTGTTCTGGCCTCAAAAGGTATATCGGGGTAGTCCTCAGAATCCTGGATGGCCAATACTCAATACTCCATCACTCGGGATATTCTTCTGGGTCAGGGCCATGTTCGACAACGATGTCTGTTCTAAGTGCACTCGCCACAGCTTGACATGGCTTTCTCACAAATGATCAACTGGTTACATCTAGTGACAATAGTTGAACAAGGAACCCAAGCTACTAGTAACAAGGGCATCACTGCTAGGAACAAATCCAAGCTGTAGCACCAGAGATGCCAACTTTGCGCAAGGACAAGAAGAAACACAAGGTTCTTGAGACAGGCGCCTCAGTCAAATCAGCCGGGAATGGAGATGACGCCAGTAGATGGTTAGAGGTTCTGCAGAGGGAGTCATGAGTCACCTGTTCGAGGCCATTACTGTAGTTTTGACATGCCGAGGCTAATGATGCAGTAATGCCACTGGAAAAGCTGAATTAATCCACCAACGTCTAGGTCCCTAATTGTGCTTCAAAGTTGCATTTTCCTCAAACTTGCACCAGCACAACAACATATGGCAGAGTCAAAGCCAATTTGCAGATGATATGGGGCTCATGTTCCATCTGAGACCGATGAAGACTGAATGACACTGGGTGCACCATGTCCTCGCGGAGTGATTCCAAACTTGTTGGCCAAGACCATTTTGTGTGAACATTGATTCACTGAAATTGATGTGTTCGCCCTGAGTACTGCAGGGTTTTGACCCACTGACAGCCATGCAAGCTAAGATTTAACAAACACACCTTTGATTTTTTGCTATATGTTCTCATTATGACCCTAAATATCTATCCATAGAAGAATATTTGGTGGAGGTCACATAGTTTGGCTCACTAAACCAGTCTGACCACCTTGCAGGTCATCCGAGTCCTTTGAGCGTAAGGTTTTGGAAGGGCTGCAAGATCTTTTCGAGACTTGGTGGAGTTGCTTTGCTTTCCTTTAGACTGTGGATGTGGAGAATTCGAGTTTTTCCAGCGGAGGCATCTGAAACACGAGCGCAGAGTGTTTCCCCACTCAGCAGCTTAGGGCACACAAATCCGTGGTGTTTCGAAGCAGCGTTCAAGCAATTGGATTGTACTGTACAAAGCAAATTTGTGTCCTGAATCATGGCCCAGCTTCAGTGATATTTCAGCCAAGCAAGTTGACATGCATTGAGTGCATTGAACATATTGCCTTTGAACGTGTCAATCTCATTATATTTAAGGCAGTACGTTCAATGTGTTAAAGACTTTGCATTGAACGTGCGTTGGATTCAGCAAGTTCCAACTCACTCCAGACTGATGCCCCCCAGGCATTCGGAAGGTCATTTTCTGTGGGGGCACTGCTAATGTTAGATTTGTCATTGCATGACCTCACCCTCCAAGTGGTATTTTTCTATTTTTTGAGGGTCAACAATGCTCCTGCAGCTTGGCCATGGGTCCCATGGGTTTCCGAGAACATCCACCACTCCTGCAGCTTCGGCTCTGATAGCGAGGGATCGATGGACTGGATTATTCCGTTTGCACGTCCGGCTGAACGATGGCTGAAAAATGTAAGCTCCGTCTCAGAAGAGTTCAACAACCAGGAGAGTTTAATATGTAACACAATTATATATATATACATAAGCAAATGAATTTGTCATCATGAGTCCACATGTTTGCAATGCACAATGAGCGTGCACCAGTACAACTCACCATCCATGATATGATCAGACATTGTGTTGGATAGATCACAATCCACCTGTGAGGACGTAATTTGACTGTGCCCACACCTCACTCATTTCTTGCCGCAGCCCATGGTGCGCACCATGTACGGCGCGGGGAAGCTCCAGCGGACGCCGGAGGAGGTGGAACGGTGCCTCGGCAGTCGGCCCGGCACGCGGGAAGACGAACTCTCCGGGGTTCAGAGTGGGTTTGGTCTTGCTGACTCAGTACCATGAGACACACACTGTCACACATTGGCCACTCGCAGCTTGTTACAGTATAGTTGTTGACACAGCAAATTTGGCTGCCGATATTGGCTCGTGCAGTGCCAGTTGGTTTCTCTCGATCCAGTTGGGCTTCAAACTTCGCAGTGCTGGAGCATACTGACGACTGGTTTCATGGGTGCTTAGTTGACGACTCAACTGGCTCGCGACTTCAGATCAAGACTTCACCAGCTTGTGGCCCAGCCAACACTTTTTGCTTGGCAGGCTGCGTGATCCCCTGGACAGCTGGGAGCTAGGCACTTCAGACACTTCCCATCTAACGCCTAAAGCCATAGTATTCGCCTACCCGGGATCATTAGTCTGGTTATGTTTGGTCATGTGCTTTGCAATCTCAGCTTGCTCCTTGGCTTGTTGAGGAGCTGCACTGATTGCTGCTGCCTCATCACCTATTTGGCCGTGTGTACTGGTCTGGTGGCATGCATTTGGCAAGCCTTCGAGAAAGGCTGGGAATGCGAAAGTGGCCGGATTTTGCTGAAATGTTAACGCTATTTCAATTTCTCTATAACATTTCTCTTGTTCTGCCACTTCTCCAACTCAGCAGCCTGGAGACTGAAACCCGGAGAGAAAATTGCTCCACGGGATCCAGATGTACTTGGATCACCTAAGCAGGAGATCTGAAGCTGTAGTTAACAGAATGCATTCCTTCATGGTATACTCGCACCATGACTCGAAACACGAGGCCCCGCAAACATAGAAGATGGTCTCTGACCCACAGATCCTCATTTTGTTTACATTGAAGACCTCTCCCACACTCTTTCGTGTCGCAATAAGTCGACATGTGTCGACATCAGCTTCGACGGATCGCCATGTGAGGTGATATCCATCGCCTGACCTCTTTACCAGACTACCAAGGACCAACGAGGGAGATGTTCGTTGAACCGATATGGTCCGACGATTCCGGGTCCATCGCAGCATGTTTGTTCTCAAGGAATCCCAAGATGAATCGGTAGTAAATGCCAATGGGTTGTACAAGCAAAGCGGAAGTCAACAAAAGGGAACGGAATGTGTGCCATGTAGAACATCAGAACATGGTTCAAACAGATCTCATAGCCTCATAGCAGTCCACGTTTGGGTTTGTGTGGGTCCGGTGGTCAAAAGCTGTTTTGGTCATTCCTTTCGTCGAGCTTCGATGGCATGGCACGGATGACAGGAACGCAATGTGTGGACAAGTACATCTTTTTTTCCGGAGAACTTCCCAGTGGGCACTACAGGCATAAACCTCCATCGACACGTCTCTTCGGCAGAGATGAAAAAACCTGCCCATGTTGGGTTCGTTCAGAGCTAAGGCTAATGAGGCTAATGGCTTCCTGGCTTCCTGGTCACTTTTGTCACGAGGAACATGTTTGTTCGTCCTTTCGGAGTCCAAACAAAAATCGATCAAGACTCACTACCTCCATCAAGATGTTTCTAATAGCTTCTTGTTTCTAATAGCAAACATTGTTACTAGTAAGGCCAGGAGCCCCTAGTAGCTTCTTGCTCCTAGTAGTAAGGCACTTGTTTCTAATAGCTTCTTGTTACTACTAGTAAGGCACTTGTTACTAGAAGCGATGCACTTGTTCCTAGTAGCTTATCATTGTCCATTAGCCTTAGCTGAGGTTTGCGTGGACTACTGTCCAACGAATTCCTCCAGTATCTGAGCTTCTTACTGACGGCGCGGCGTCAGCTTGTGCCCAAACTTGGACGAGATCAGAAGTGAACTTGGAGTCTTCCTTTGGTCAAAAAACGCCTCCTCCATAAGAACATCAAAACTCCTAACCAGCCCAATGATCATTAAAGCTCAGGTACTTGTCCAGGGTTCCCTATGGCCTGCTATTCCACCCAAAGCTTTGTGTTTTTTTGATTTTTTTTGCATGACTGGCTGTGGGGTTCCATTGGCGTTCCCATTGCCTCGTTGGGATCCTGGAGTTGGACCTCGCAACGAGGTTGGTTTGTCTAACTGGGAGGATCGTTAGCGTTTGGCTGCCCTATCAAAACATTAAAACATATAAAGCAACCTTACGTTCTGCAACGAAATCGGCGGGAAGTTGATGCGAAAGACAATTGAAAGGGTTCCAGTAACAACACTTGCTGAATGGTTGTCGCAGCATTCCTGGCAGGTTTTATCGATCTTAAAGCGTCTTAAAGGATGTTCATTGAAGTGATCTGGGTTTGGGAGATGTGGAAAATTAAGTTACCATACCCAGGTACATAGGTCTTGGAACTGTTTAAGGCTCATCCATGCTAATCCGCATTCCCGTATTCCTGTATGTCACATGAGGCTGATTGGATCATTGTTTTTCATGTGCCATTTGATCCACACCGGTGTTGAGGTTTCCCAGGTGTTGTCCCGTTGGATGGCGTGGACGGACCCAGGCTTGGTGACCTACCTGATCCCACATGTCGTGCCGGAGGAGGAGGGGCGGAGGCATGGCAGATCATGGGGCGATGTGCGTCATAAGAGGCTGAAGAGGTACCAGAGAAGCAATCTTAAAGTATTTTAATATTCAAGATTATGTTGCATGATATGTAATCATTTGCATTATATTTAGTAAGGTCTAAGTCCCTCACACGATAGTTAGCGAGTCAACATCACATGCATAGTCAGATAATAACGATAATAAATGCAATAATAACAATATCTATATATATATATGTTGTGCAATTTTTCTGGCTTAGGTGCTTCAACATTTACTAAGAGCACCCCAACGATGGGACCTCTAGTCTTATATAACTTCTAGCCGCTGGTTGAGCATAGTAGCAACTAGTCTTGTACAGCCAACCCCAGCCCTAGCTGCCCAAGCTCAAGGACAACATATCTTTAGCATTCTTTAGCACCATGATGCACATGTCTTCGGGACATCTTGGGACTATTGATTCTTTTACCTAGGAGCAAGGCCGCTACTGGGGGCTCCTGGCCTTACTACTAGTAACAAGAAAGCTACTAGGAACAAGTGCATCGCTTCTAGTTACAAGTGCCTTACTACTAGTAACAAGAATACTAGTAGGTTCATTTACTTGGCTCTGAGAATCCAGGCCAAACATCACCCGACTGCTCGGTTGAACTGATCGCTCGGTCGACTCGGATCAGAATAGTCTTCAGAACATCCGCTGGAACGGGCGTGGATTGAGCATTCTGTTCAGTTGGTTCACTTGGTCACCAGTAGAAGCAGGAATAAATATAACTATATATATATATCACATATAACTATATATGATATATATATATATATGTGTGCTTTTTGAAAATCTGTATGTGTTCCCCTTTTTTCGAGGACCTTTCAGGACTTGCAAGGACAACATAAATCCCTACTAAAAGCATCAAAAACATGTGTTCCCTTCGCGCACTCACCAAGACTGCGTTGACCTGGCGGAATGACCGGACGACCGAGGAAGTTGGTGGGGCTCCTGGAGGCTGCAGAGAAGAGCGAAAGCGCAGCTAGCGCTGGGATGGCGGAGACCAACAGCCTTGCCCTCAGGTTGTTCTGTAAGAACTTCACCATGCCTGAAATGATACGAAATGGTTTGAACTTGTGATGCGCTCCCTTGTGTGGTGTGCATTTGCAGATTGCAGATGCAACGGGGTTGATGCTGGGAAGTAAACCAAACAAAATTGGGAAACATGAGCTGAAAGGTGTTGACTCGCTCAGTCGAAAAAGCACGAGGGTTTGTACCAAGGCAGCTGAATTCTGAGGATATCCAAAGACTCGTTTTGGAGAGGCCAAGCTGTCAGAATGACTCCCAAGCAAGCCGCATGCACATTGGAACATGTTGGAACTGAATATCCCAGGTCCACGTGGCATCAATTTTCGGACTCCCAGGTCCGTGGCATCAATCTGCCTCCCAGAATGTTGTTGATGGCAGGTTGGAGATTGATTTTTTCCAACAGTCGTTCAGACAAAGCAAACTCATGCAAAATCCATATCCAAGAGCTGCATTCAAAGTTTCAAAAGATTGATCTTTTCGCACGGATTCCAACGTTCCGAAGACCAGCATGGCTTGATCACTGATTGGTGTCCGTCATCAACACATCCACAAACTGGGCATACAATCAGACATCTCACGACAATATCCGTTGTATCCGTTGGTGATCAAATCCTTTGCGCCGTTTCCAAAAACAGGCAACTGGCAACACACAACCATCACAGACTTTCACAAGATGTTTCTGAGAAGTGAATCCCCTTTCCGCGTGTTCACTTCCTGGCTTGTTTCTTTCGCGAGCTGGACCTCCATTCGGCTAGCCTTTTGCAACAACTTCTTGTTTCCTTGTTGACCCAACAACTTAGAACAAAACTGCATTTCCGTCGTGTTTCCGAAGAACCCAGGACTCCTTTGCCATCCTGCTGCACTGAGGCCTGTTGATGGCTCCCACCGCTGCGCCAGCGAAGGCGGCAGAGTAGATGGGTGTATATGGTACAGCCAGCCAGGGCACCTGCCCATCATGATTTACTATTGTATGATGCATGTATATATATATATATAATGACGAGTATATCTATAAATATATGTGCTTCTCCCTCCCTCTCTCTATCTATCTACCTAACTATCTATCTATCCATCTACCTATTTGTTTTTGTTTTGTTTTAGGATTCTACCACAAAGCAGTTCCCACCTGAAAGGCCTGAAAGGTGGCGCATGGGCTTGGGACCATTTTGCTTCCACACCTCGAAGCGGCCAGGAAACGGCTGAACCTGCGCAGGCTCAGCCTCCACAGCCTGCGCCACAGGCAGTGGCCCAACCCGGTCCATCCATTCCATCCATGCGAAATCGTCGCATCACATCCCCACTACCCTGCGATATCTTGGTCTTCAGGTCAAGGTCGAGGTCCATGGGCACCATGTCATCAATGGGTCGAAGCATGACTGGTCCTGCATGAATCAAGGTGGGTGCAGGATTGTGCTTATAGCGCATAGAGATAGTCGGCCAACGGTACCTAGAAACGGATAGAAATGCACGTAACCAGCGCAAGGGAATAAGAACTTGCCGTTATTTAATCCAAGCACATTGGTTTTGACCAGGGAAGTGGGCACACTCAGGTTTAAGACGGAAGTGAACCTACCACAGATTCGTTCCATGTGCTTGTTACGCGTTTTCAAGCCTTTCAGGCCCCAAACCAAGAGTAGGAACATGCTGCCCAAAGGATTTGAAGTGTTTTGCAAGTCTATATGGTGGGCAAGTTTTTGCCAAATAGAAAGTGAAGAGCTGGCTTGCAGAACAAGATGTTTGACCAAAACCAAATTGTGTGTGCGTTTCCACGCTGGTAGAGTGCCAGCCCAGACTGAAATCCACTGACTATGGAATTTTTGTTTCTAGTAGTTTCTTGCTACTAGTATGGCCAGGAGCCCCTAGTAGCTTTTTTGCTCCTAGTAGCGATGCCCTTTGCTCCTAGTGGCTGAGCCTTGCCGGTTAGGGTAGGCAACCTCCGTGGAACTTCTGAATCAGAATGTCTCCATGGCCGATCTTTGATGTGGTCGTAGTAGTGTATTTATATATATATATTTATAGTTATATATAATATAGTGATATACATACATAGTTATATTGGACCTGTGCAGATCCCCTTCCTTTGGAGGTTCCGCTGTTGCATGTTGCAGTTTCGGACTGTTGGAGACGCAAAGCATCGCAAAGCGATGTTTTTGCTGGAGACACAGCCCCCGCTTGACCAGGCCGCGCCTGCGGCGACGCCTGCTCCAGCGGCCTCGCCGGCACCGGCTCAGCCTGCTCAGCCGGCTCAACCAATTTGGTCGCCGAACGCGCCCACAATGGCTCCGATGAGCATCAACGACGCTGAGAAGATGGAAGGGGCGAGATGGTTGAAGTAGCTTTGTTCATTTTTGTGTCATGGCTTTGAACCTGTCAATTGACAGCACGTTTTCTTGTGGCAGTTCTCTTTGGTTGAGGAGGTACAGGCAAGGAACTTTGTCTCACGTTTAGACTAGACAGACCAATCCGCGGTTCCTGGACCCAGGTGTTTTGTTTTGACGGGTTTTCAGGTTGTCAGTTTGACATGTTTAATTCGTACGAATGCTTTTCATCAGCTCTTTTCTTCAAGGTGAGTTTATGTACCGACTACCTTCAAGGAAAACGGCTTGGCTTTGGGAAGCAATCCAAAGGGCTTCACCAGGGCACTTTGCGGAGTACAGTGTTCTTGCATGCGGTGAAACACATTCAAAACAACGTGAAATCACTGGAATTGAGGTGTCCCAAGTCGGGTCACGTCGGGTCCTTTCTTTTGAGCACCAGTTTACACACCGAATTGGGATGTTTCATCGAAATCAAAAGCTGCATAGAGAGTGATGAACACTTCTCTTTACGGCATTTACCACGGCTGTAGTGGCTATGGTATGTTCAGAGAATCGGAAGTTTTGTGCGACACATCTCTTTGACCTCAATGTGGTACCCCCAACATGCTGCTGACCTCTACACAATGTTCAATACACTATTGATCACTATTGAAATCTATTGAACATGAAAACAATTCCACCATGTTCGGACCAAGAGCCCGGTCGAACCCTCACAAGTCCCCGCCCGACACGAACTGTGCTTTTCGCTCACCGAAGGACATGCCCACGTTGCAGCGCTCCGAGCCTTTTGCAAACCAACCGTCCATCGCGGCCGACGTGCCTGAGGGCGCGGAGGCAGTGACCCTGCAGGGGTGACTCGACGAGATGGGCTTTCTTCATCGGCAGAGGGGGTGAGTTTTCTGGACACATCCAGAGTTTATGTGTTTTACTCTGTTTGAGGTGATATCAGGCCTATGCCGGAGCTCAATTACATGTCGTAACAGCTCTCCTTCAAGATATGTATATATATACACATATATTCAAGAAGAATGCAATTTCGATGGGCCTTGAAACTGTTCAATTTTGGCACTGCTTAGACTCTTTAAGACTAAGTTGTTAACACATCTGTCAACAACAAAGGAGCCATTGACCGTGGACATTCAAACTAGGACCGTGGAAAAGCAACTTGTGAAGTGTAATTAGGACCTTTAGAATGATTTACTAATCTCTAGAACTGTTGCATAAGTGAAATCGTGGGATACCTATAGGCTATAGAACAACGTTTGTTGAAGTTGTGGAGGAACAACAAGTTTGGAAACAATTCAATAGCATCATTGTGTTGCTGATTCTACCAATCTATATAGATATATCAGTTGAACATGCCATGCAGACTGGAGCCTTCGCATAGTACATAGGACAGAAGACGTCAGCAACAACCACCAACCAACAGCTCTTCCGAACAGCGTGCCATTTTCACTGAACCCATTGTAGATCTTTTTGCTATTGCTCATCTTAATGCCTCAAGACTATCCTTCAAGACCCTTGTGATCCCAAATCCTTGGTGGGTCCATCCATTCCCAACCCGGAGATTCAAGGTATCCTACGGTCCCCATCGGAGGCTTGATGTCGAGCCCCGTTCGGTGGAGAATGGGATGGCAGCTGCTAGCATCCACCAGGGTCAACTCGACCCTTTCGGGTCCATGAATGGCCTCACCCCATGTTCGGCCCATGGCGGGGTTCCACCTGGCAGAATTGATGGGAGACAACCGATTCAGAGACCCAAATCTATTGCGGCTGTCGCCTCTGGTCTATGTTAGAGTGAGTGGATCATGAGGCACTCTGAGAATTAGTAATTAGTTATGGCTATGACCCAAAGTGCCAAAGTGTGAAGCGTTGACTTAAATGCAACTTTTGCTTGCTGATGTACACAATCTGGCAGAATCGCTGAACCAGATGAAGGTCAGGAAGGATGAAGACCCTTAGCCAATGGAGTCAGGGCTCCAGAATCGTCAAAAGCCATGCACTTGGCATTCTTGGCGTAGCTGAGAATTGAACATTATGTGAAGTATGTTGCTTCTGACCGGGGCTACAGCTGATGGGGGTTTGCTTCTGAGTTTGATGGCTTTACCGTTCATAAACAATGTTTGCTGGCATCAGCACCATGAATCAGTATGTTTTTGCGCGTTCTTCATGTCGACATGTTGGTGATATGACATTTTGTTGAACCCACTTGTCAAAGCCTCAGCAGATCCAAGCTCTCAAGTTCTTTGCCATACAGCCAGGAGTGTTGTGCCTCCCTAAGATTGGCACCTATGAAGGTGAAATCAAGGACGGGAAAATGACGGGCTGCCAGTCAGAGGCAGTGAAAATAGAACGGATATATAATAGCATATAATAGCGTTAGTGATGACAAGAGAAAACATGTAGAACTGTTTCCAGAAAAGAACAGGTCCACGAGGAATTCGTACCCAAATATGCTTGCGGACCTTGGCTAGACGAGACCTAGCCGACTTTACTTTGCGTCTTGATTTGCTTGATTGTCCCTTATGTTTGTCACTTTATTTGATCGCTTTGATTTGGTTTATTTGATTCGGTTTGGATTGCTTGCTCCCCTGTGGCCACCTCGAGGATTTGATGGGAAGCAACGCCTTCTTTGATGCGGCGTTGCAGGTGGCAGAGCTCGTGACTAGGGCTTGAAAAATTGCCCACTACTACTCAGAACGGTTGAAGGGAGAGCTTTTGCACCCACTGAGAACAGGAACTTGTAGAACACACTATATGTACTGTATACAGCTGCATCAAGCTCCTTGAGTGTGAATGATTGAGTGCAGCGTTTCATTTTGAAGAAGTCACACAGTTATGATTGATGGAGCCTGACTGGAGATGATCCGATCAGCAACATTCAGGTACAGTTTGATGTCCCGCCAATTTCCAATGGGGCATATGAGTACGCAGTGTGTGCCGTGTTCAGTCGAGCTTAGCGGCAATATGTGAGATAAGCAATACGTACAGAGCAGAACTGTCGGAGTTTGTACTTAGGGCTACTTGTAATGGCGATGGCCTCCAACCTAGCATAGGTTGGGTGGAAGCCCCTTGAGTCCATATCCGAACCCTACAAGCCACGTGTTTGACTTGCTTTGCAAGGTGAAGCACCGCTACGTGCTTTTCGTCGCCGCTGCTATCGCTACTCAGTCTTGTGTGGCGAATCCAGGTGGACCAAGGCTTCAACGATGAATTTGAGTTTAACATGCCGATCTCTTGTATTCCCAAAACCATCCCAAACCGCGTGGGTCATTGATGCAAAAAAACCGTAGTCTAGCTGTGGTGGCTGGAAAATATCCTGCAGGAGCCTGGATCTTGGCAGGATTTGGGTTCGGAGTCCAATATGTCCCAAAGATGGAGATCAACTGTGTCCCCCCTGTTGGCCCCTTGGCAAGTCCTCCTACATGCATACATACCTACCTACATACATACATACAGACATACAGATATCCTTTGTAGCTCAATGGCTTGCCCACTTCAGTACCCACACAACATACAAGTAGAACAACTTGTTAGAGCATGTGAATTGATGTGGGGCTGAAACAACTGACTAGCTCATCGCAAGCAGAACTCAGCGTTTGCTAGTAGGCCCATGCCTGTGAAGCGCTAGTTTCTTTGGCCAGTGCTCTCTTTGAAGTGACATTTCCCACAGATCGAAGTACCAGACTTTACCAAGCAAATTGCAGCTGGGCACACCCACCCTAGGTTTAGGGTTGCTTTACCATCACGTTGCTAGCATGTGCTTGATTGGGTGAAGGTTTTCATTGTTATTATTGGTGGGTGATTCGCCACGCCAAAGAGTTTGAACCGGCAGATCGTCCTGCAGCCGAGGGCGTGAAGAGATATGCCCCTACGCAGCCCCAGCCCAGGCTGTCATCCTGTCTTTCGTCTTCCTCTTTACGGTGGAATGGGCTGGCAGCTTGGAGCCGAGTGCTGGCATATGTAATAGCGATGGCCTCCAACCTCGTAGCGATGGCCTTCAACCTAGTAGCGATGGCCTTCAACTCAATAGCGATGGCCTCCAACCTGTAGCGATGGCCTCCAACCTAGTAGCGATGACCTCCAACCTAGTAGCGATGGCCTCCAACCTAGTAGCGATGGCCTCC